CCCTCCGACAGTGCGGCGCTCCCTCAGCGCTGACCCTCCGACAGTGCAGCACTGCCTCAATCATGACTCAAATCAGTGCAGCACTGCCTCAGTCATGACTCTCGAACAATATAGGGTTTCCTCATCATTCCCTCTGTACTGACCTTAGCCCAGAGGTCTGGAACAGGCCCCTCCATTGATCCAGATAAGTAACATATCTATGTGTTATGACTGTGAAGCAAGTTTTACTAAGATGAAGTACAAATGCAGCTATAAGCCTCGTTCGTCCAGGACTTGGACATCGCAGGTGAATTGGTACAGGGAAGTGCAGTTTTAGTTAGTCAGATCATCTGTAATCTTGTGTGGGAGAGTAGGCTTGAGGGGCTGAGAGTCACCTAATCCTTTTCAGCGTGTGACAGTGGTGTTATTCGACACAGTAGCTCACAACTAAAACCCTATAGGTAACAGGAATAGGAAGTGATTTCAAAAAGTTTATTGGCAGCATCAGTGATGAGTGCATTAAGAAGGTGGTCCCACTGAGATAAGCCCAGGGAACAGAATTGGAGGAAGAGTCCATGGTGAATGATGGAACAGAACAATAATGGTGTAGTGGTAAAGGGACTAGGCTAATCCAGAGGCCCAGGTTAATAATTTGAGGACATTGTGCCCTATCCCAGAACAGCAGCTAAATTCAGTACGTAAAAATCTGGAATTGAACGTTAGTCTCAGTGATGGTGTCCAGGAAACTATCATGATTGGTGTAAAAACCTACTGGATTACTAAAGTCCTTTAGGGAAAGAAATCTGCCAGTCTGATCCTTGTGATTACAGATCCACAGTGATATGTCAAGGCAAGGCAATGGCCTGGTGGTATTGTTACAGAACTAGTAATGTTCTGCAGACCTGGTTTCAAATTGATAGTGGAATTTTGAACTCAATAAAAATCTGGAATCAAGAGTCTAATGATGACCATGTAGCCATGGTCAGGGAAGAACCCATCTAGTTTGCCAATGTCATTTAGGAAAGGAAACTGCCATCTTTACCCAGTCTGGTCTACATGTGACTCCAGACCAACAGCAATGTGGTTGACTCTCAACTGCCCCCTGAAATCATTGAGCAAGCTGCTCAATTTGAGTAAAAGTCAAAAGAACTGCAGATGCTGCAAATCAGGAACAAAAACAGAAGTTTCTGGAAAAGCTCAGCAGGTCTGGCAGCATCTGTGAATAAAAGAGCAGGGTTAA